AGCAATGCAAAATCTGAGCCATGGGTTCACGAACATTGAGGAAGGCCCAATCTCGTGACTGTGTTTATACGGTTATCATTTCACTTGCTGAGAAAATTTTAAATTTACAATTGCACACTTGTAATATAATCCTAATTATCATCTTCTTACGCTTTGGTTCTTTCGGTAAAGTCACGTAGATAGAAAATTAATAGATCACGACGTTTCGATCGCAACACAAGCAACCATCATCAGGTGAAACATACACAACAGCAGAACTGCTGACGTAGGAGTCATCATCGCCTTCTTTCTGTAATTTTCCCACTCATGTGGGGTCTGCCTTCCTGGTGCTGTCACTCCATTCATTTCTGTCACGGGTCATCTCTGCGTCCATTCCACAGTTGTTCATATCCTGGATCACCACTTGAACTTTCCTCTTTCTAGGCCTGACTCTAATTCTCCATTCCGGTGAGTTCATGTTCACCACCTTTGTTGCCTTTTGCTTTTCATCTTTTTTTCTTCTTCTTGGGGCATGTCAAGCCATCGGAGTCGACTTTCTGTCAGCTTGCCTGGGACGTTTACCACTCTTGCCTTTGTCCATATCTACTACGTTAAATGCAGTTCAACATGACGATGACGATGATGCAGATGTCACGATGCTATTTGAATTCCCAACAATGTGGTTTCAGTTCCAGTGCACCCAACACGGGGTGTGCGACAGATCCGTTGAGAATCTTCATAATACACGGGCAAAAAAATGTGCCGATTAGGTAGTAAACAATTGATTGTATGTAAGAATGTCGAACTTCTTTCGCACCGTAAATAACCAACCGTGCTAATCGGAGGTGCGGGAGAAGGACAATAAACGAAACACAAACAATATATATAAATGCAGCTGCACAAACGGATGTGAGCCATTGCATTTGTAAAGCCAAATGGCACGCGCCCTCCTGCAAAAATTGGATGTACGTTGCCAGGGCTGCCATTCACAGTTGACAATGTACAGAAGCTGCGCTGCCCGATCCATGTTCTTCCAGGAAATTCTGCCCTTTCACAAAAAGAGCCGAGGCTCTACACCAAGCCGGCTGACGGGGGAGATGGCCACAATTTGCAGATACGTGTTGATCTTCTTTCACGCCAACCGTGCTCATCGGAGTTGTGAAGGAAGAACAAAAAACTAAACACAAAACGCAGTTCACAAAAACTTCGTTCTCAATCTAAAATTCCCACGAGGACAGATCCAGGGGTAAGAGTCAGATTGAAACTAAGAGGAGGCATAGTGCTACGTTAATACAAAAACAGCTTCTTCAGTTGCCTGTCAAAACTCGCCCTGAACAGGTCACGCAAATTCCGAGACGCAGCCCAGAGAAACGTCTGCACGGTATCGCCAACATTTGTAGAAGTTTCAATTTCGTCACCGTCACTCAAAACTCACTTGCTGGCTGGGATACATTTGCCAGAGGCAAGGCACGACCCTTACTTCTCCCCTTAAAGTCACCTTGGGGTAAAACTCAAATACTGTAGTACCCTCCGATAACACTATTCTGCGCGTTACAATGTGTCATATTCCACGTCTCCCTAATTCATCAGCGTTAGGCAGGAACGGAGTGTAAATGCTGGGGAGGAGACTCACAGTTGCCCTTCCTTTGTCCCCACAGCCCCACTTTTCTTCAAGCAAACTATATTTGCAGGCTGGAGCAATGGCGATACGGTTAGCATACTGCCTTATGAAGCTACCAACCTGAGTTAAACACCACGCGATATCTGAACCGGTGCTGTGGGCCCCCAATTCAACACCCACCTGACCAGCATGATGAAGTACAGTCAAACAATCCCCATATCCGCCGCGGAGCGAGAAGGGGCCTTTAACCAGCAGTGGATTTACAAAATACTCTATGTGATCATACGCAACTTAATGCCATAACATTTTTAATAAATTGTTATTTTTGGGTGCAAGGGATAGAGAGTGTGGGGGCAAGTGACTGAGACAGGAACCACAGCAGGGCAGCACCAAACGAGGTCATGTGACTTCTAAAAAAGAGACCCGGTACAGTTTTGCTCTTTATCCCCTTTTTGGCCACGGAAAAATGAAAAACGCTCTTGTAAAATCTTCCGTTTAATTAAAACGTTTTCACACCCATTGACTAAAGCAAAAAAAAAAGAGAGATTGAAATGCAATTGCCAACTTAGAATCGCTTTGTTGATCAAATTACAACAAGATAAATGAAACTGAGTTGGACAGAATTGTTAAGTAATTAAAATGCGAGAAATTTTGTTTTAAAGTGAGGGGCCATCAAATGTGGGCCTACAAACAATTATCTTTGAATTAAAGAATTAGGCATATTGCCTCTTTAATTAAACGGCTTTGTACAAATGCAGTCTTTCGTTTATGTATGCACTTTATCGTGAAGCTTTCAAACCCAAAAAATCGGACAAAATGTGGGTTTATACATTGCAAGCAATTGCATTAAATAAAGCAACACAACAACTCGATAAACAGCTTACTTTAATTTTCAACCGTCTGTAAGACTGTCATGGTGAAGAAAGAAAAAAAAATGAACAAACAAAAGCAAAGAAGAGTGTGAGAGAGAGAGGAGAAAGAATACCGTAAGATCACGCACGCACGCAACAGCGACCCACACGCAGTCAAACGTGCACAAAGGTGGAATAAAGTAACGAGAAGGATGCAAACATAAAACGGAAATGTTTAAAAGAAGGAATAGTGAGTATTGGGGCTCCAGCGCTGGGATAGAAATTCAAACCCCATCTGAGCACAGGATCAATGAAAATGTTTTCATAAACCACTTTTTTAAAGCCAGTTATTGTAAACAAAATGCACCTCCATACGCTGATGCTAGCAGTTTGACACGTAGGCTTTTGTGACCAATATTATACGTAGTAATGTTTTTTTTAGGTTAGATCGCGTAAGTATAAATGTCGTCAAACCCCCCACCATCCGACACAGCCAATGAGTAAGGTTTGTCATGTAAACAAAACATGCCAATTAGTTACTACTTCAGCCCACCGGTGTATTGGGAGAGTAAATCCACAACATTTACACTTTGAGTACGACGTTTTAGCTGGTAATTACATCCAGCAACATCGGGCGATTTTGCCACAATTCTGGCAAAATCGGCCGATGATGCTGGATGCAATGACCAGCGAAACATCGTACTCAAATTGGAAATGATGCTAGCAAGTTAATAATAATGGAAGGCTTCTCACTCAAATGCAGTGACATTAATACTCGAATCCAAACACAAGCCAACAATAAGGTGTCAAGTTTTTTCCCCCCATGTTTCTTGCCGATGCATTTCAAAATCATCCGTGGCTCCGAGGATGGCCCCATTCACGTAAGATCGGCAGCAATACGGTTGAGGGATTCGAAACCGGCATTTCTCAACGCCAGTTCCACATGACTACACCACGATCCGGACTCCCACGCCTAACCATTTCTTTAATCAAACGCCGCTCGTGTTGAGCACAACTAGCCAGTGACTCATCTCACTCTCAAGGATATACTGCCACGGCTCCATAATTATTCACTGCAGATAATGTTCAAATTTGGCAAAACTTCAACCGTGACACTGTGAAAGCAGTGGCCCACTCTCAATAATGGCACCAGAATTTTTGTTTGTTTCTTCCCACATCTACTTTCTTGGCAGCGCAAGTGGGCCATGCTCAGCAATATTGCCGAGGGGGTTGATACGCAACCGTCCAGCTCACTTCGACCACCGCGTTCATCATCCGTACATCACAAGCGGTCACATGCATCAGCGCACTGGCGCAACAATGCATGCACAAAAACGATCCCCAGCATGGCCAATACAAACTGTTGGGGCAAGTGCTGTTCGCAAATTTAACTCAACTATTTGTTTTATTTCACCAGGTAAGGCCCACTGAGCTACGTAGCTCTTTTTCAGAAGCGACCTGGCCACAAATGATAGCTCAACGAAGCGGCTTATCACCTTGAAATGTATAACGGCCAAACACTCTGAATGCCTATAAAGATTAGCATGGCACAAGAGGGGGTGATGATGTCTCCCCGGTGCTCATTTAAGGCTGAGGTAACCCAGGAGAAGCCCAGGACCAGTTCAGACATTTGCCAGTGACGTTGGACATGGCCGGAAATTTAATTCAGTTGTCGGGTCCGTAGCACAGTGCTCAAACGACTGCGCTATATAGCCTCGACAAACTAGTGGGACAAGTGCCGTTTGCGAGCACATACATGCACACACACACACGTATAAATGTGCACTTACGAACACATGCACACACACGGACACAACAACAACAACCGCCGCCAAGTGGCGGTGACATCTCCGCAAGGCAAAGATCCCCCGTATATCATTAAACAGGTTCCTCGGGCAAGTGCTGTTAGCGAGCACCTATGAAGGCCGGTATGGCACACGAGGGGGTGGGTGGCCGGCACAAACCCTGGCCGCTTTTGACTCCCCAGTGGCGATGTTTACACACCGCACCAGGTACTTGTTTAAGGCCGAGTCGCCCGAGAGGAAGCCCAGGACCGGTTCAGATAATCGTAACTGGTGTTGGCCGGGAGCGGAAATCAAATTCGGGGTGCTGAGTTTATAGCGTAGCAGGCTAACCGCACACAAAACAAATATCCTCCATATAGCCTTAACAGACTGTTGGGGCAAGTGCTGTTAGTGAGCACCTATGAAGGCTGGCACGGCACACGAGGGGGTGGGTGGCCAGCACAAACCCTGGCCGCCTTTGTCTCCCCAGTGGTGATGTTTATGGTACTCTCTTGAGGCCGAGTAGACCTAGGGGAGGCCCAGGATTGGTTCAAGTAATCCTCACAGGTGTCGGCCATGAGCGGCAATCGAACTCGTGTCGCCGGGTTCGTAGCGCAATGTGCTCACCACTGCGCCACTGCTCCCCACGGACGCGCGCATACACACGCGCACGCACACACACACACGCGCACGCACACACACACACGCGCGCACACACACACACACGCACACACGCGCACACGAACCACTGCACACACAGCTGACCTTGCTGCCCTTGCCGCTGCGCGACGAGCCGGACGAGGTGGAGCTGAGCCTGGCGCCGGGCCCGTCGCTGCCGCCGGGCGAGGCTGTCGACGAGGCCGAAGCCGCGGCGGCCGCGGCGGCCGCGGCGGCGGCGATGGCGGCGACGGCGGCCACTCCGGCCGTGCTGCCCGTGGGAGAGCGGTCCGCGATGCAGGCCGCCGCCTCCGAGCCCTTCTCCACCATGCCGTTCCCGTCGGCCGCCGCCGCCTCGGCGGGTCGCGGGGTCCCCGGCCGCCCCTCGCCGCCCTGCCCGATGGGTCGGCCGGGGTCAATGGGTGAGACTTTGGCGGGTCGGGAAATGTAATCATCTCGCCAAATGCGTCGCGAGGCTCTCCCAGCAGCCGACACAGCCAAACATTACATTGTCACGTGCGCGTTATTTTGAAATCATAACATTGGCTGGGGAAACCTACATGTGAAGCCAATCCCTTAACCTTGTATAGGCATAAATAGGCTCTGTGCCCTGTGCTATCCAAAACATGTTGGGAGCTGGCGCCGAGGTGGCAAGATGTTAACTACCTCGCCTGGAATGTATGCACGGTGAACTACTTTCGCACCGTACATAGCCAACTGTGCTAATCGGAGGTGCGGGGGAAGGACAACAAACTCAACGTGACCCTCCAGGTATACAGGAGGTCGTGGGTTCAATCCCAACCCTGACGACTGTATAATTGGAGTTTGGATGTTCTCCCTGTGGTCGCGTTGCTTTTTCTCCAGTTCCTCTGGTTTTTCCCTCCACGTTTATAAGCAACATGTGTTGAGAGTATTTGGCTGCTATAAAATTGCACATAAGCCAATTTTGTTGAGCTATCATTGGGTACCCAGGTCGCTTCTGAAAAAGAGCTATATGGCTGAGTGGGCCTTACCTGGTAAAATAAAATAGTTTAGTTTAGCTTTATGGTATGAGAGTTACATCACTTGTGCCACTTTGCTTTTGGCCGTGATTTTAAAGTCTATTTTCACATTAATTATGTTTCTGACTTGTGCCAGGCAGCACAGGACCCGCATCCGAGATAGGCATCTACAAGTAAAAAAAATGGTTTTTTTTGGGTTGCTCTTCCTGTAGCATTAAACAAACAATTTGGTGATACTGCATTGTGATGTGGTGAACAAGTACAGATCAACAAAAAAAACTCAACACATTCGTCAAGAGAGGTCCCTCTAAGGCCTCTCTCTACGAAGAAAAGGCCATTGTATCCAAAACGTCGCCTTTTTTGAAAGCAGTATTATTGATGGACGTGTTGATTTTTGTTGTTGTTATTCTTTCTGTAGAAGGCGTTCCACATGTGGGAAAAACTAAGAATACCCAGAGAATACCCACGCACACATGTGAGGGGAGGGAGCTAGACCTAACCAGCATCTTCTCGGTTCTTAGACATGGATATCACGAAACTCCCTGGGGCCACCTAAAAAAAATCAGGATGTCCGACACACAAACTACGAGCTGACATGAGTCGTAAATTTTCATCGAGTCTTCCCGCCACCACCGTCTGTCTCCTGTGCCTTGCTCCCACTGTCTGACCAACCGGTCAGCTGGAGACATTGCCGGCGCATTCTCGCAGGAGATCTCAGACTCAAGATCAAAGATTAAGATGTCATGGCGGCCAAAGCCACGGATGCGACCACACCTCGCCATACGCCTTCTCCCCGAGCGCCAGACCCTGCAGCTGCTGCACAGTAGACATGCGGTGACCCCCAAGGTCTGCCCTCACAGCATCCCCACCATCTGGTCTCAGTTGTTCCCGTTGGGCATCAGACTCCTGGAAACCACTCCCAATCCCTGCTTCAGTAACCGGCTGCTCCTCAAATCAGCACATGTCCTACCCAGAGCGTAACCTTCCCCCCCCCCGCCCCCGAACCACATCTACAAAACTCACCTGCCACGCTCTCTTCCGGGCTTCTGCATCGCATATCCTGCCGTGCCACGATATCCCTAGCATCCAACACCTGCGCTCAAACGCCAACAACTTATTTGCGAGTCCGGCTCTCCGATCCACACGGTAATGCAGATAAGAACTCCCGCAGTAAAGAACCCTTTTCTTCACGATCGGACCTCTCTCTCTCATCATCGCGCAGAATTCCCACAACGACACGAGGCTGCATCCCGGCCACTGGCGACGCGGGTGGTGCACACACGTGGGCGGTTGGGGACAGGTGACCTCATTAGCCGCTCGCTCACGGACGTGTTGCAGAGTGCCGTGTTCGCGCTGCGCCCAGGGTAATGAGTGTACAGCTGCGCTTGCACTCCACGATCAGGGGCGCGAGTACTCCTCCTGCTGCTGCTACTGCTGATGCCGCTGCCACTGCTGATGCCGCATCTGCTGCTGCTGCTACTGCTACTGCTCGGGCTCAGTGACATCACGACCGGTAGTGGAATGTGCATGCCTTGACGTTGAAACAGGGCATTATTAATACTGTAAAGTTACGAGCTTTTAAAATGTGTATTATTATTTAGTCACAAAAAACAGGGCCATTGTTGTCACTGTGATAATGTTATCGTCATTTTATTTGGAATGTTAAAATTGATCCATCCTATTTACACTCATATTTATTTAAATGTATCGCTGTTAAGGCATTGTGTAAATTTGATTCATTCATTCAGAATATATTCAATGAATTACATTTAAACCCTTGCCCTTAAATACCAGTGAAGTCTTGTGATATATGCTTATAATACAATAACACAGGTGATAAATGAAAAATTAACAGCTCATTGCGCCATTTTATTGTTTACAAGTTACAATATTACTGTTAGTTTATGTTTACTGCTTCGGGCAAAAGACAACCAAACAAACCGAACCTGGTGTTAGGTCCGGTGAGGTGCTTTAAATCATTATCGGTGAGGTGTTTTAAATCTTTCACAATGACGAAGATTAACATTTCACTTATGACAGAGACAACGGGCACACAATCACAATCCGTCATCCTGCCAGTAACGGCGCGTTACGGCTGTCAGCCCCGGCGCTACGGTGACGCGTGACGCACCGGCGCGCAAACTAAAATGGCCGCGTCGGTCGGTTGCTGCGTTTTTCGGGAGGTGTGCTCTGGCCGCTGCGACGTACGCATACACGCGCGGGAGTAGCAGCCCCCCCTCAACTCCACCCCCCCCCACACACACCACCACCTTGCCGAATCCGCTCGCCGCTCCGTGCGTGGCACACCGTGACCCCCCGAGTGGAACGGCGCTCGGGGGGTCGGCTCGCAAACGGGGTCACGGGGGTCACGGGGACCAAGACGAGCAACCGCCGGCTGTCAACAACATCAGCGCCGTCGATCTCATTAACGATGGATGGAGGGGACACCTCATTTCTCTTACGTGGCCAAGCACAGAAATGAGCAATGACCCCCCCCCCCCTGGCTACGGGAAATCTGTAGAAGCAGGTTACGCAACCCGATAAACGTGCGATGACTTTTCGGAGCACGTGAGATGCGGCAATTGTTACTATGCATGAGTGTTCAATTTCCTGATTTAATCACGTGAGCAGAAACTGAAATTGTCTAAATTTGTACGGGCTACTACAGTTACGAATGGTTGGCGATGCTTCACAACTAAGGTCGTCTGCCTGTCCGTCTGTCAGGAATTTACCCTACAAGAAAGCAGACAAATTGCGAGAAAGAGTTGTTCAAAACCTGGGGACAAATAAGCAACACTCAAAAGTAATTGCCTTGCTGGCGAAGGCGAGAACATCGTTACAGGTGACACCGTGAGAAGACATCATTGCGCGTGACGTCATCAAGCTGCGTGACTTGGAACACGTTATCCTCGTCAATTTAGACTTTTAAGAGGACAAACGCGTATTGTAAAGTGTTCCTTGTTTGGTCATTGATAACAACAAAAATGCAATAATTCACATCCCGCTTCACAATGTGTTACCACACAAAGTTGCGCCAGTTAAACCAAAGCACGGGACTCAGAGTTTAATGTTGTGGACACGAAGCCAGGCGCGGTAGTGCATACCTGTAATCCAGAATTGTTATAAATTACACGGATCTGTTTAAAACTCCTCTGGGTGGGGAGGGGGGGGGGAGATCGCAGGAGAGCAACGGGGTTCACGGCTCCCCCTCTGTGCAGATCTTTGAGCGGTATCGTCTCGAATGTGTGGCTTTTCTCCAAATGCTCTGATTTCTTCCCAAATGCAAAATAATGACCTTAAACAAATTATTGAGCACCACATCTCAATGCAAGATCGTCCTGGTAACACTTGAAATTCATTGAGGCTTCCATGGAGTAAAGCAAAATATGATATCATACATACGTGGAAAAAAAACGTAGTTTGACAAGATTATATATTTTTTTAGACACATAATTAAACCTGGGACACAAATTCACTCGAGGATAGTGCAAACTTGGTAATGGAAAGAAAATACGAGCGCACGCAGTAGCACTGGGCCTATCGAAACACGTTCCGTCCGTGGTCAGAAACAATTAAGCGCCGCGGTGCGTAATTATCACCGTTACAACAAGCGCAACAGGAAACCTATTTCGGGTCTTTGTCGTGTCCACACGCGCCACGACACAAAAAGGCAGCGGAAAAATTACGTCGAACGCACAGACACGCACTCACCGGACGTCGGCAGGAGGCCAAAGGAGAAACGGACGCAGAGAGGTTTTTTTTGGGTTAGATCGCGTGAATACGAATGCGTCGGGATCTAACCTTTTACCGAGAAAAATGTTGGCCACCAAAAGCATAACGCGTGAAAACGCACACGGAGAGCGGCCCTGCCCCGGCCAACGCGCGAACGAGTATCCAGCAACGCCTCCTGACGTGGGCAGCGTCGACGCGATGCCGTTCTACCACTCACCATCGTCAAATCCTCCGCGCCCACCCCCAGAGGTCGCAACCGGGTACCCGATACCCGTACCCCACCCGATACCCGGCTACCCGTACCCGACTGGGTATGGGTACGGGTACCCGTTTGCGACCCTGGTGCGGCCGGGTACGGGTAAGCCATGAGTCACTGGTGAGTAACCGTTTGTCACTCATTTCCCAACGTCTTGTGTCTCTTCTCACAATTCAAGTTCCTAGAATCAACCCACCCGCGCCTGCAACATGGCTGCATCCCAGAGCTCGCAATCAGGTACCCGATACCCGATACCCTACCCGTACCCGGCCGGGTACGGGTAGGGTACGGGTAGGGTACGGGTATGGCCGGGTACGGGTACCCGTTTGCGACCATGGTGCAGCCGGGTACGGTTACGGGTAAGGAATCAAAACCCGTTTGCGACCTCTGCCCACCTCCCTGCCGCTGCTTCTCTGCTTTCCTCTCACTCCACTCCCCTCCTCGAGCTCTCTGCTCCAGCCACTAGGGCTTTTCTGTCTAAGCCCCCAGTCAACTTTCTGCTTCGTGGGAGGTGGCTCGTTCTGCTCTGCTGTCCCTAAAGTCTACAAGTCCCTCGCGTCAGCAGTACAGTGTCATCAACTCTCTGCCTCAGATTCGGCACCTTAGACTATTCCTCGTCCTCGCGAGTAACTAAATACATATGTATTATTTCCCCTGAATGATTAAGTTCCATTGTTGGAGTTGTATTTAAATGCTATCATTTCCATCCAAATTGTATTGAATGGCCATATATTAGCATCGCCAGGTGACATCCAGAGAAAACTATTTCCGACTATTTTATCAGATAAGGCCCACTAGCTCTTTTTCAGAAGCGACTTGGCCACAAATGATAGCTCTACGAAGTGGCTTATCACGTGGAAATGTTGCGCAGCCAAATACTCTAAACGCGTGTTTCTAAATGTGGAGGTAAAAACTGGAAGACCCGGAGAGAAAATCCACGTGACCACGGAGAGAGACACGCAAACTCCAAATGTACAGGTGTCAAGGGTCGGGATCGAACTCGCGACCTCCTGCATACCAGGCGAAGAAGTTAAACATATCACCGCCGTGTTGCCTAGGTACCATCACAGTCTCCCCTCCACTGCATCTCCCACTTAACTCACTCCATTCTACCCAAGGCTACGTAAGGATACAAAGACAAAGAAGTAAGTTTAGAATTTGGATGTGGCGGTGCATATAGGTTAAAGGCTTTGGAGGCACGGGTTGGTGAATCACATAAATCTGTGATTCTTCCAAACCCACTGAGCTTTGAGGTGCCTAGGAAATAGCAGCACAACAGAATGATTCGTGAGCCTGCCCACACAGTAGACACAGTGAGCACTCTCCCCTCGTATGCATAGATATTCCACTGGCACTCCAAATTTTCTCCCACATTCAGATATATTCCCTTAAATACTCCTTAGCATAAGGGCAGGCTAGGTGAGGTTTTTGTCTTTGTGGCGTTTCTGGCTATTGACTCCGTAGTCACATTCGGCCAGTGGTGCCTATCTCTTGCCAGTTCTTTTATGTTCACCCAGTTGCTTCCGGTTGTTACCCCATATGTTTTGATTTCGTGGATCTCTGCATTTCATTCAAAAAAGCAAGCCTCTCCATCGTGTCCAGGACGTCCAACCGGACTTTTACCTGGCGGATCCCATTTGCAAGTTACCTTTGCCAGCCGCCTAGAAACTCAAGAGCATTATTTTAGCCGGGCGCTGTGCAGCACGACTGTGATCCTGCGCTTCGAAAACGGCAGTTCATGGATCGCGCACATCTGTGAAACTCTCAAACGCACTGGACTGCAACGTGGCCTGGAGGAAGATGGCACACCAAGTGGGCGAGTGGTTGGGATTTCTCCGGGCACTCCGGTACATTCCCACATGGAAAACGCTCGTTCATTGAATTGACGAATCATTCCAAAAAATCTTCCTTATACACGGTGAAGCCTTCCTGGATTATTGCTGGATAATAAATCACATCATCAGCCATCCTCAGCCGACACGAGAGCATGGGACTTACCCTTAGGTCGCGAGGGGAGGGCTGGGGACTCGGCGGTCGGTAGTCAGCCTGCGGGGTTGGGGGTCGCAGGTCAAACTGCGGGGTTGGGGGTCGCAGGTCAGCGGGGTGCTGCGGGGTTGGAGGGCGCGGCTCGGATAGCTGCGGAGTTGGGGGCCGGGACTCGGGCAGGGAGCGCCGGCCCAGGGTCGGGGAGCAGTTGGGGGTGCCACCACTTGCCCTGCTGGCGCACACAGCAAAAGACAAAGATCCCCCATATAGCCTGAACAGACTTTTATGATGAGTACTGTTAGCGAACACCTATGAAGACCAGCACGCACACGAAGGGGTGGGTGGCCAGTGCCATGCTCGGCCGCCTTTGGCTCCCTAGTGGTGGTGTTGACACATCGCACCAGGTAGTCATTTGAGGCAGAGTCGACCTAGGGGAGTCCCGGGATGGGTTCAGATAATCGTCACTGGTGTAGGCCGTGAGCGGGATTCGCATTCAGGTCACCGGGTTCAGAGCGCAGCACGCTAACCACTGCGCCACCACTCCTCTGCAGTAGACGTGCACACCCCATGATTAACACGGGTGCGTGGATCTGATAAGTGCCTACAGGGCCCAAGGTCAGTGGCATGGAATATTTCAAGTTATATTTTCCCTTAGTTTGCAATGTATATCGATGTGAACCTGGGGGGAAAATCCTCCTTAAGGTATATTATGCAACTGGTTCCTGGTTAGACCAGAGGTGGAGGGGACTGAAGCCTGTTTGGGGGGCTGCGGGATTCATGAGCTGGGCATGGTGGTAGCACATGCCTGTTATCCCAGGGCTGGATTTAGAGGCAAGGTTGGTGGGTCAAAAATATGAGTCACTCGTACACCTGCCAGGCAATGAGATGGCCAACAAAAGGCAGTAGGGCATCCGGGTTAATGCACACATCTGTGCGCAGCTAGGGCATTCCCTCGTACACGTGGCTTTTCTTTTGGGTATTCCAGTTTTTATCACGTGCACAAAACGCCGGTTAAAATGGAACCGATTGAATACCCCACTGCAGAAGTCTCCGGAACAAAAGAAACTCGAGACACAAATGAGGCTTTCCTACTCAAAATGTGCCAGCGGATCTGCAAAGCTAAAGCAGGAACCGGTGACGGACCCATGAACCCACACATCAGTACCCTTTAAAATTACCTAAGGCGTAACTCCAACCTGTGTTATAGTGCGGCCATACAACGCTGCTTTCTGTACCAGGCCTGTGCGATTGTCACAGTGGATGTCAGGGAGTGCCGAGTGTGTACTGCCGCTACATTCACATCCTCCACGCTAGCGCCCGGCCACGTCCAGGGGAAACCAGAGCCGCCACGGCTACAGCTGCCGAATCTTTCATGATCCCGGCCAACACGCAACAACAGTTACACCTCTAACCGTGCGGCCAAAGGTGTAACCAGCATTGGCTAAATAAAAGTACAACGAGTTTTGGGAACCACTAGATTAGGCTAACGTGGGCAGGGGGAGGGGGGGTGGGGCAAGGATTGTTAGCGAGCTAACAGCTCGACTGGTGAGGTCAGCACAACACCCAGGGGCCACCTTCGCATGTCCCGGCGTGAGCGCGACGCTCACACACGACTGACAACGATGGGCATGTCCAGTATTTAAACCCAGTAAAATAGCGCCGCGCATCTGGGTGTAGGTCTCCCCCTCGACTACACGCGCTGCCGGCCTTGAAAGGATGACGGTTGCAAGGAGGAAGACACGAAAGGAGGCAGTGGCCCCCACCGAGGTCTTCCGGGAGTGGATGAAACCCACTTAGGCATAGTCCCACGTGAAACGTGCATACCATAGCAAGAGACAGCAGCAGCAGCAGCAGAGACATGGCCTTGTCAATGCAAGGCGTCGTGTCAATACAGCGATGAGTCAAAATTGATTCTCAGTGACTCCCGACCATTCTCATCAGCGAATGCAAATCGTGTGTGTGTGTGTTATGTTGTTGTTGTTGTTTGTTGGGTGCTGTTAGCCATTGCCTCTTTAAATGCAATGTGCCAGTTGAACGCAAGCTAATGTTTGGGTAGGAAATATAACAACAGAGGAAGAGAAATACTCCTCTTGGAGCCCTGACAGACTTTTGGGGCAAGTGCTGATTGCGAGCACCTCTGAAGGCCGGCACCGCAGGGTACACGTTTGGCTACGTACGTAGCCAACCTTGCTAATCGGCAGAGGTGTGGACTCGAGTCATGTGACTTGGACTCGAGTCAGACTCGAGTCATGAATTTGATGACTTGAGACTCGACTTGGACTTGCATAACAATGACTTTGTCCCACCTCTGAGGTGTGGACTCGAGTCATGTGACTTGGACTCGAGTCAGACTCGAGTCATGAATTTGATGACTTGAGACTCGACTTGGACTTGCATAACAATGACTTTGTCCCACCTCTGCTAATCGGAGGTGTGCGTGGCCAGCACCATGCCCAACCGCCTTTGCCTTTCCAATGGTGATGCGTTCACACTGCACCAGGTTCTTATTTGAGACTGAGTCAACCTAGGGGAGGCCCAGGACCAGTTAAGATAACCATCACTAGTGCTGCCTGCGAACAGGAACTGAACTCGAATTTCCGGGTTCGTAGTGAAGTGCGGTAACCGCTACACTACCGCTCCCCATAATTAGAGAAAATACATATCTTAAACAAAATCGATTCATAAAACAATTGCCTACATCGGCTTATGCAAAAGCACAGCTTTCAGGAGACTCGTCCACTTGACTGGCTCACCAAGCTTCTTTTTAATTTGGTATATGATGCTCTGAAGGCATCTATGGCCCATTCATGCTGACTTGTGTGGCTTTAGTTACAGGTCTCTTAATTTCCTGTTTACAATACCGGATGTTTGTGCGTTACGGTGACCATGTGATATCATTTACGTCGCGTCTAGTTGCTCTAGCATGCCCGAATGGTTCGAGCAATTTTCATCGTGCCCTTCATGCCAAACTGTGGTCTTTTTTTTTTACGCAATGGTTCATTATGTCAACATCTCACTCTGTAGTCCCGTGCCAATGTGAACAGAACCAAACGTTAATTGTGCCCCACTGAATTCATTAAACATGAGCCACGAATTCCAAGCAAGCAAGCAAGCGACTCGCTTCTTTCAACGAATAATCGTCGATGGGTTTTTTTTCCAATGCACAATCTTGTTTTGTTTGTGCCGTGCGGGAACAACATTTTACCAAGGGCTGGGATTCAAACGTCGAATTTTGGTTTTTCAGATCGTCGGCAAAACAAGACAAAACCCGCGGTGAAGATATTTTTAAACTGCCTCAGTTATTACAGTGCAATTAGACGCGTGACATGCCTCAGTACCTTCAGTGCTAGGCGAGGGTTTGGTTTCCTAAAGCAGTCTTGGAGGATGCAATTCCTGCAAGCGTCCTGGTCCCTGGTGCTGAAATTTAGGCTGGCCTAACGGTTCCTCGAATCTCATTAAAGAATCACAATCAGTCAATCAGTGTCGTCTGAATTTCGATTTAAAGCATTCGTGACTGCAGGGATTCATCTTCTTGGTTCTTTCGGTAAAGTCACGTAGAAGGGAAATAATAACATAATAAAAATAAAACATTATAAAATACAATTATTCTGTTTGCTTTTTATTATTTTATTATTTCCCTTCTACGTGACTTTACCGAAAGAACCAAGAAGACAGTGTCGTCTGTTAAACCAGGCGGGTGCTCATTGCGACGCAGCATCTATTTTACCAGGGAGGACCTGTGCTAGCTTTAGTTTGAATACATTTTTTTGTGGGGGGGCGAAATTTACGAGTGTAGAGTGATTTTGGAACCGGCTGCATGTAAACGCATGCCTTTTAATTCATCCACAGTGCACGAGGGTATTTCTCCATAAAATACGGTGACTGGGTTGGCCTGCGATTATTTGCGCCCGTGCACCGCCACCGACGCAGTCTCACACACGACAAAAAAAAATCTGCGATCGTTTAACTATTTCTGACATTAACACAACATAATGGCCAGCTGAATGAACACGTTTACAAAAATAAGAATTTAAGACATCTCTATAGCGTGGGATATAATGAAGTCCAGAGGCGTTGTCAAATTCCATGTGCAATTACATATCAAACAGCCAGTTTCTACTACAGTGCATCTCGTCTGCCCGTATTGCCACTGTAATTCGCTTAACCGTTAAATTGCTCTCACCAAGTCAAAATAAACATGCACATGACGTACCCAAGGACACAAATGCAACCTGCAGCAAAGCATTGCACTCGCTACTTGCCGATGGACGGATGGCCACATTAATTATGAATACAAACACAAAAAGAAAACGCACGGACACGCCACACGCGTACGCACGCACGCACGAGCGTGCACGCACACGTCATATGCCGCATCCTGAAGAAGCAAAGTCCCCGAAATAGACCGAGATATTTTTAGCACAAGCTCGGCATTGTCATCGGCAGCACACCTTGCATCTGATCGGTGGAGAAAGAGAGAGAAAATACATCGCGAGCAAAAACAAGCAATCCTGAACGGGGCATTACCTCAACATTCCCGTGAAGGCAGCGCCGATATTTTGTGATTTTTTTTTTTACGTGTTTATTGTTGAGCACTGACAGCATTGGTCGGCGCCGAGTAAGCGGAGAGCTACATTATCCGCTTTACAATTGGATAGCGGGTGAGCACATGACCGCATCAGCTGTTGGGACCCGCTGCATCCCAATTGGCTGCGGCTTGAGGGTGGTCTCCTTGGCGACGGGAGGATAAAGGGAGATGATGCGGAAGGGGCAATGGCGTGGGAGAGAGGGACAGAGCTTCGCAAGCAGCTGACCAAACGTGGAGAGCGAACGCGAGGGATGCCAAGCGCAGATGTCGTGCGTGCGGGAGGGGACAGCGAAAGTGAGATCGTGACTGGGAAAATCGGGGAGGGAGAAGAACAAGGGAGGTGCAATGGGGCGCACAGGAAATGAGTTGCGGAAGGGAAATAGACGGAAGAGTTGAGATCAATTTACATGACCACCGCTGGCACGAGCCACTTTTGATGAAATAAGAGCACATCGATTAGCAGGCATCCATCACGGACTAGAAGGAGCTGCATCACGACTGCCAGGCGCTCATGTAAACGGATAAAGGGACACTGACGGAAAGGACAGAGTATTCAATTATGTGCCCAATACCAAAAAATAAATGCGGTACATCAGCATCTCAGTGCCACGCCGTGTCGCCAATACGCATGCGTACATTCATACGGTAGCTTACTCACCCTATTGTCTCTGTTGACGAGTCAAATCTGCAAAAGAGAAACAAAAAGGATGCGTGAGATAATGGATTTCCTAACATGAATTCATTCTTCAAAGCTGCCATCCATTTTGCAGTCACGTTGCACCTGACCGTACCATCGTGACGGTTCCTTGCCAGCAGAATAAAACAAAGGGGCAATCCACAAAAGCCCCAATATTCCTCACCGTGTAGACAAGCACGCTGGCCCTGTGTCTGCGGAATTACAGTGCAACAATGACTCGGCAGCTTCATTCATAAAGAAAAAAACTTACCATATTCTCCAGATGATAAGACAGATTTTTTTTTTCCCTTTAAATTATTTAAAAGCAAAAGTTGGCGGTGAATCTTAATCCTTTCCCATTGCGGTGACGCAGGTAGATGTACATCATCGTAATGGGATGTATGTGTACACCATTTTTTTCCGATTCCGTTCCGGTGACGTACATGTAAGTACGGAACAGAATCGGCACGTCTTCAGGTCACTAGGTGTACTGAGGCTCCCACAAGGCCATGCGGGAGGGGAGTGTGGCACAGTTTGGCGCCAGCTATCATAGAATGCGGTCGTGTCACTACAGTTCCCTGCGGTGAGAACATTGTATTTTAAAACAGCGGCGCTATGCCTCTCGAAATAAAATTAACAGTGAACCGCTTGCGCGTTCCGAGATTCAGCGGTGAACGGGACCCACCATGCAACGTGCAGACGTCTCGGGACGGGCAAGGGTTAAATGCCAACGATGTGGCCTAAAATCTGCCACGTGAACAAGCACGCTACATATTCTTGGTTCTTTCGGTAAAGTCACGTAGAAGGGAAATAATAAAATAATATTAATATTAAACAATAAGGGAAATAATAAAATAATATATATATATAAAGCAATAAAAAAATTATTCATATTATTTTATTACTTCCCTTCTACGTGACTTTACCGAAAGAACCAATAATATGAATCCCTGCAGTCACGAAAGCTTTAAATCAAAATTTAAAAAGCACGCGACAATTGTGCTAAGCGTCTAATCTACATGCCACTCAATCCATGTGCCACTCCGACCACATGTCACTCAGTCTACACGCCATTAATATTTACATGTGACCCATGTCACATTTACCCATGTCATTTTTTATATTCAAATTTACCCTAAAACTGGAAGTGCATCTTATTTTCCGATGCATCTGTTAATACAGAAATGCAAGCAAAAGGTCTGGTGGTGAGATGTTATCTGCCTCGCCTGGTATGCAGGAGGACATGAGTTCGATCCCCACCCTGATGCCTGTATATTTGGAATTCGCAAAGAAACGTGCGTTTAGATATCTTGGCCGCTACTATGAATTCCGAAGTATGATGATGATATCAGCCACTTCGAGGAGCTTTCATGTGTGGCCATGTCACCTCTGAAAAACATCTGATAGCTCAGTGGTAAATAAAATCTTTATTTTAGTTGAGGAGTTCCAGACCGCGTGGGCAGAAACAGAAAGCTGGCGACCCTCCCACTCCGATCAGCATTGTCGGCTACGTACGGTGCGAAAGAAGTTCAACATACATACATACTAAGGAAATGACATCGACAAGAGCCTTGATTTCGTGCTGGACTCAGGTTTAGGGTTAACAAAGCTTCTTCACACTCTCGTCAAAAAAGCTGAGGCCATACCAGCTGGGCAGATACGTAAGAGTTAAGAGCGATTCATCTCTTGGGTTACATCTTCCTTTTAGGTGGCTTGGCGGCACATTCAACCGCAATCCACATTTTCAATCGAGGGGCACTAATTATTCAACCAAATGCTTATCCGACATTGTTAATGAACATGACTTAAGATATGTAACAACAACAATTCTCTTGAATATTCATAATTTCTTGCATAAATTTTCGTTCAATAAGCATTTGTAATTCCATGGATATATGCTGATTTTACACTATGTAGTCCACATATATAACACGTGTCGAATAAATAAAAAATGTACGGCACTTTGTCAATCCACTGCTGGATTAAGGCATTGTATATCAACCACAATATCTGTAATAATTTATGAATCCGTGTACGAATGTGCACAGATGCACATTTCCATATCCTGCGGATAATTATTGAACAACGTGTTCAGATTTAACTGCAAGACCGTGTAAATCTCCACTTGTGGTTTCTCCAAGTTAACGTACGGCAACCGACATTTCGGAGAAACAGCACCGTGTCATATTGTCGCTTGGCAAAACTTCCAGCTAAAGTATTCTCGTTCGTGTAAACCAGAACTTTAAAAACTCGTTGTAGAGGAAGTGCAGACTGCTGATTGAACGAACATGTTGTGCCACGAATTACAAGTGTTCCCCAGCAACTGCAGACTCAAGGTGCCTTTGGATAAAGTGCTAAACAGAAGAAGAAGAAAAAAAAGCAGGTGCGCAAGCTTCCACTCGCTCACCTTTTGGAACAATTTAACGTCAAATCAGTCCCGTGGGCCTGTCGCCGCGCGGGTCCGATTTAAGCGAACAATGCGCACGGAGACGATCTCCCCACGTCGACAGAGACGTAAATGCTGGCCGCTGGACAACACGTGGGGCCGCAAGCCGGGAGATCATTCAATAAGGAGCACCTGTCCCCGAAGCGACGCCAGAACTCACAGGAGGCGCGGGAAGGGGCGGATTACGCAACTCAAGATGCAACCCGGAGCGCCGAGACAATACGGCAATTAATGCGCGGCCTTAGGAAGTCATTAGGTGCGGCTCGTCCGATGATGAAAAGCACCTTTAAATACCAGCGACCAGCAGGTAACGACCACAGGTAACAGACCTGCAAATCACCCCCTTGGCTTTCCTATAAGAGACACTGGCACCAGCTATTGTGGATATGCTATTCTTAGGTTTTTTCGGTAAAGTCACGTAGGTAAAAATTTAAAATTAATAAAAGTAAAATAAAAATAAAATAAAAATCACGACGTTTCGGAAGCAACACAAGCTTCCGTCTTCAGGTGGAACAGTCACAGCACGATAGCTGTTATTACTTTTAATTTTTTACCTAGGTGACTTTACCGAAAAAACCTAAGAATATGAATCCTCGCAGTCGCGAAAGCTTCAAATCTAGAATATGGATATGCTATTGGTGTCACGTGACGTATAACCATTTGTCAATATACTGCCGGATGAAGGCCTCTCTACGCTGCGCAGTCATGGGGGCGATTTAACCACGCCGGTCAAATTGGGTTTCTCAGAAGGGAGTGGCGGGTGGGGTTGGGGGGCAGCTCAGGATCGGTTCAGATGTCACTCGCTCGTCGCTAATGCGAGGCACGGCCGAGGATCAAACTCGGCTCGCTGGGTTCACAGCACAGTGCGGAAACCACGGCACCACTGCCCCACGACCCTGGTGGTGAGATGTTATCTGCCCCACAACCCTGATCGTGAGATATTGTCTGCCTCGCCTGGTATACAGGAGGTCGTGGGTTCGATTTGAACCCTATATTTGGAGGTTGCATGTCTCTCTCCCAGTGGTTGCGTAGATTTTTCTCCGGGTCTTCCAGTTTTTCCCTCCACATTTAGAAACATGTGTTTACCGAGTATTTGGTTGCTATACATTTCCACAAGATAAGAAGCCACTATCATTTGTGGCCATGTCACTTCTGAAAAAAAGCGATATAACTCAGTGGGCATTATTGTTAGGTTTTTTCGGTAAAGTCACGTAGGTAAAAAATTAAAATTAATAAAAGTAAAATAAAATAAAAATCACGACGTTTCGGAGGCAACACAAGCTTCCGTCTTCAGGTGGAACCGTCACAGCACGATACGTGACTTTACCGAAAAAACCTAAGAATATGAATCCTTGCAGTCACGAAAGCTTCAAATCTAGAATCAGTGGGCCTTACCTGGTAAACAAAATCAATAAAACGTGATACTCAGTAAAATATTTAAGTACTCGTTGCATTATTGTTACATCACCTCCGATTAGCACAGTCGGCTTCGTACAGTGCGAAAGAAGTTCAACATACATACATCAGAACCCCTGTCCCTGCTTATGGTCACATTGTATATCTTCATGGTGTAATCACAAAGTACTTCAGCTGGCGCGTTGTGCCGCATGCCTTCGCTCGAGAGCTTTGAAGACGGTTGTTAGTGGATATCGTAAATCAGTGACACCCTTAAATGCACTGAACTGTAAGGTGGCTAGAAGATGGTCGAGCAAGCGGGTGAGTGGGTGGGTTTTTCTCCTGGTTATCCGGTGCCCTCCCAACATTCAAAACGCTCCTTAAAAGGAATTGGCCAAACATCACGACGCAGCACTCTCCTGAAAGTCTTGCGACTCAGTGAGGCTTACCTGGAATATTAAATTACACTCGACAACATTACTAGAAAGAAATGGTCGACCACATTGCAAACACGTTCACAGGCATTAGTCGTCTTTTATTTGTTACACCTAACTCAAACATGTTTAACCACCCGTGTAAATCTTCTTCTTTCGTACGGCTGCTGATATAGATACGGAGCAATAATTACAATTTCACATTTCGGTGGTCAAGCCAGATAACCGCATCGGGCGTAGCGGAATGTATCACTGTGATGCCTCCTTCGTATTTGTGAATCGGGCATTGCCTTATTACACGATGTACGGTCTGTTCTGGATGACCACAGTTGCACGCTACTGGAGAGTTTTTAAATTTCCATTTGTGCATCAGGTATCCACATCTGCCATGGTGTGTGCTGATGCAGTTTAGAGTAGACTATGATGAGCACACTCATCCTGCAAAATATATATTTGTTGGGTAGCCGAGTGTTGAATTTCCTTGCCTCTGGGCTGACGGATTCTGTGAAAAATCGTCGTAATCATCATGTTCATATCAACGGCGCTACCTTTGATAACCCGAGTGATGATGGGTGATGTCCAGCCCGACCACGATGAATCTGCTGTCGAGGCCACTGATCATATACATGTGCAGTCCCTTTTCTCTATCCACTGCTGGATGAGGGCCTCCTCACACCTTCCTCGATCTTAGATCGAATGAGATTGGGCACATTCCGAGTCACAGGTCGACTGAT